CCACTCCCCCTTTCCCTCCCTCTATCCCATACCCGCCGCGCCCTACTCTACACTCCGCCGCTGACCTTGGGGGTTGCATGTTGATGAGCTGAGGGGGAGTACGTAGTACGCACGCATCGTTGCCGTTAATCACATGCACCTGATTTGCGTCGTTCGGGTTCGGACATAGTGTCTAACCCATACCTATTTTGTAATTTTTTGAGAATGATATGATGGGCCGTTGCAACGGTCGTAATTTCACAAGGTGTGACAATAAGAGTGTCAAAAAGCTTCAATCTAAACATTTTGTGTCGGGAGAAAAAAACACTGTGTTGCGGCAGCCGCGCGGGGACTAAGAAATTCTTTGGTGGAGTGACAAGTATTTTTCTCAGTGCACTTCACTTTTATACAGTGTGTATACGTAGTGCGTAAATATGTGTCGTTCCCATGAGTCACCAAACAACAGGCTTGGATTAGCGCTTCGTTAATCGGTGCGAGAGGAGTTGACCCTTTGCATCACCATGTGCGCACACCTACATCTGTGTGTGTGTGTGTGTGTGTGTTTGATTCGTCTCTCCGTTGGGAGAAAGGTGAGGGAGGGGAGAGGGGGGGGGGGAGGGTGCTGCCGAGCTGCTGGCGGCGCGACTGGCTCTGGTCTGGGGCCCGAGCCTGTTGCTGCATTGCGTCACTCATGTTACTTACCGACTCGTTCGCTGTGCGCCTGTCAAGATTGCATTTCTCGCCGGGCGTCGCCAGGTTTAACCATCGCCTCCAACTAGATCTCTTCTAGTAATTTTCGCGCGCAGCGCATTGTGGCTTTGCAAATAATTTGCGCGACATCGTGCGCTATGTATAGTCATGTTTACATGTCGCGCGTCGTTGAATGGCGTCGTCGTGGGATCAGCTTCATCGATAATAAATCCACGAGTTTTAATGAGGACTTTCGAGAGGGCTTAGAGGAGGACGGCGAGGACGTCAAACAGAGTAGAGGGAAGAGGGGGGGGGGGTTAGATTGCCGCCTGGAGCCGCTTCGTGCATCGCAGCCACGCCGCGCCGCCGCCGCCGCTGTTGAGGAATAGAAGTCAAGGGCGCGGCGCTCCGGACCACCTCATCTCATCTCGCCGCTGCTCACGCCGCAGCAGCCCATCAGGGAGAGGGAGCGCAGCCTTTCCTCGGCGCGATGTGTCGCTGCTTTATTGAGCCATGCCGTGCTCATTACAAACGTGCCTTATTATTACTGTGATTTAAAAATAATTCAAGATGGAAGAATGTCTCGTGTCGTAGTCGATTGACGCGCGCGCGAACGGTTTACTTCCGAAGTATTTTCAAGTGAAACGGCGCGAAAATCGACATCACTCGAGAAATGAAGCGACCATGTCACAAGTCACCTTCAAAGATGATAAGGAATGAAATATCTTCAGTTTTAAGTCCCAATTAAAGGCACTAAATACACTGGTAAAACAAGACTGTTTACTTCTACGCGTCAATTGCCACCGACGAGGCCACTGATAATGTGATGATGTACCAGTATCCATATCAAATGAGCCGTTTTAAACAGGACCATTGCTGTCCTCGCGCGCGTGCGCTGCGCGGGGAGGTCTTGCCGCGCAGCTCGCTCCGCCCCCCCCTCCGGCCCGGGCGTCTCTCACGACCAGAACAATGTGGCATCACTCTGCATTGCGCGGGACGCCCTTGAACTATTTCCAGCAAAACGATAAGCAGGCGGTGCAGCGCCCGGAGTGCAGCTCGGCCCTCTTGACCATGACGAGGCGCCGCGCCGCCGTCGTCGTGCGCCTCAGGTGTGCGCCGCACCGCCACAGGCAACTGCTGGACCGCTGCCTGGAGGTTGGCTGGCGTATGACTTCGCCATTCACTAGCGATCGGCGGCCCAAATACACTGACAACTACGCACGTTGAATGTGTTTGTGTTCTTTTTGTGCAAACGTTCGGACCAGGTTAAACCTATACGTTTCGCGTTGGACAAATTTGTGCGCGATAATGCATGATTTTCGTGAGGATGAATGGACAAAAGTCTTCAGCAAATCAATGCTGAAATGTAAGAAACATATATCGTTTTAATTTTGTACAAGTTAAAGATACAAATCCAGTTAGTTTTCTTTCATTGCTAGAGCAAGCGTTTGATATGCCTTCACACGCCTGTCAATCATGCTATAAATCATTTCGCTGGCCTGCTTGGAAAAACGTAAGCAGAGCTACACTATCAAAGAGAGAAAAATCGTTACCTATTAGGCGCGCCTATTTTCAGTCTGCAGTCGAAAGGAGACATTAACTCGGGTTGCGGGCAGCACTTTTCTCCTCAGGGCCGCACTGCTGCTTGGTGGTGCTGTGGTGGTTATTTCACGGCATCTGCCCGCCGCGCGGTGGCTCTACACTCACTCGTCGGCAGGCATTGGTGATCGTGGACCCCTTTCCATTTCACAGCAGCGAGAGACCCGGGCTGGGACCAGCCTGCAGTTTGCAGTCACCACGGGCTGGGCCCGGCTCGTGTGCAGCGTTAGCGTTGATTCGGTTGCCCAACCCAACCCAACGCCCCGACAGCCCGGCTGAAGCCAGGTGGCATGGAGATCTGAGCCGAACGGTGCCGTTCGCTCGTTCCCGCGCGGGGGACCCCGTAAGACAGTAGTCGCTCTGCTCGGTTGTAACTTTCGCCCGCTCGCCTAGAGCCGCTATCACGCTGTTGCGATTAACGTCATCATCACCATCGCCGTTTGGTATTTCTCGAGACTCTATACTCGTACTCAACTGCAGTTTGAACGGCCGCGCGCTCCGCGGTTGCGCCTGAATGGAGGGAGCGGGGCGGTGGCGCCGGCCGGGGCAGCGAGGTCGGTGTCATGCATGTGAATGGCAATTTCTCATCTCGGTGCGCTCGCTGCTGCTGCGGTCCGCCGAGGAGAGGGTCGTGTCGCAACAACCCCGCCGCCCTCCCGCCGCGCCGCGCACCTCCACCGAGGCCGCCGCCGGAGCTGCGGGGGGCTGCTGGGCCCGCTGCAGGATGAGGAGGAGCGGGCGCCGCACAAAGTGTCTGACATGAAACACTTTGTACTTTTGCAGAGGCAGAGCGCAGTGGCTGCTGCGTCCATAGGTCGGTTCAACGCTCTTGTTGGCTCAATTGGATTCCGTCACTGCAAACGTTATTGTTCATTTTTGATTGAACATAACACTGAAAATCCTTGTCCTGCTCACTGAAAGACTTTTGACGTTCTGAAGTTCGGCATTCAGGGGTGGCTAATTTTTTGCCAACGGAATTCTAACATTTTTGCGTTGTTATTGGAAATAGAATTCACACTGCACCGCTGAAACATTGGGCTTTCCGATGATTAATTTTCGTTGTAAATGTCATCGTGCGCCACACCTCCGTGAGAGAATTGTATGAGCGCCGCTAAAAGCAGGTTGTGGACGATTCGCTGACCTTGCTGCCCTGCTTACAGGCGACCAGAGCCGGGTGGAGCTGGGCGTCCCGGGCGGCGGCGCGGTGGGCCTGGAGCACGGCCTGGAGCACGACGACATCGAGCTGGAGGGCGACGAGCGCGTCCTGGAGCTCATCGTGGACTCAGGTGGGCGCCCATCCTCGGCCCAGTCCCCGGCGCTACCCACCCAAGGCTAAGGTGTAATGTAGATAGGTGGGCGCAAGCGCTCTCATTGGTGGATCTGACATGCGCAGAACCGACTGCGCATCTCCATGTCAACCACTGTCAGGCCAGCGCGCGCGCCGCCGAGTACTTAAAAGGGATTAAGGAGCCAGGAAAGACCCGGCACCGCCCCTCCGGAGGCTCGAAGCTCGACCCTAGCACGGCCGCCCGGCCTAAAGCCGACCCTTGCTACCTGCTAATACCTGGTCCAGCGTGCACCCAGCACGTTTCAAACCGATCGGCGGAGTGGCGCGAAGGATCTGCCTTCCCCCACTCTCGCCCGCTTGCGGCCACCTATCTCTATATCACCTTACCCAAGGCGGGGTGGGCCGTAATCATGGAGAGGAGACCTCTTCTTCGCAGCTGAATGATTCATTAGCATGACTTCACGTCCGGGGGAGTGGCGGGTAGGGCAAGGGTTGGCCGGGCTTTTCCTCTTGCGCCACGGGGCGAGGGCGGCTACGTACTGGGGGGTGTGCGGCGGCCGGGGGGCGGGGAGGGGCGCGAGCCGTACGGGTTGTGTGCCCCCGACGGGCCGGGCCGAGCCGGGCTACATGCGTAGCAGACAAGCCATTCTTGCAAAACGCCCCGCGCTAACCCCGCGCCCCGCCACGCCCTGCCACCGGTGGGTCATTCGTTATGCACCGTGCACCTGCGTTGCGCGCGTCCCCTGCTTCGCGGTGGTGGTCCCCCCCTCCCCCCCTCTTCTATGTACATCTCTCTCTCTCTCTTCTCTCCCTCTCACTCTCCCTCTCCCACGCACTCATGGTGGGTTCTGTCATGCGTGGTGCGATGCACGTGTCATGTGTCAGTCCAGCAGAGCAGCCCCGCGCGGCTGCCCGGCCTGCCGTCCAGAACGTCCAGAACAGACACACACACACACACACACACACACACTGTGTGTGTATTCCCAAACCACTTGCCGGGTACAAAGGGAAGAATGCCCCCTGACAACTGCACCGCATCGAGACACAGTGAAAGTGGCCGCATGCCTTGTTCCGTGTGGATGTCGTGGTGTGTGTGTGTATGAAAGAGGGGAAAGGGGTGGGGGGCGGAACCACCGCGGTGCAACCCGCTTATGCCCTGTCACGCCGTGTCATCGGTAGGGCTCGAATCTATAAACTTGCGTCACATGCGCGCTCTCTTTCTCACAACTCTCTCTCTCTCTCCGTTTCTGTCCCCACGCCGACACACACACACACACACACACACACACACACACACACAGAGGCGAACGATAAGATAAGAGCCGAACCCAGCATTAACATTCCCATGGAAGGGGTTGATGTGTTGCGATGTGGGTCACATTTTGCTGTCGCACCGCCTGCCGCAGCCACCGCTGCCCCCTGCCTACGTGTCGCTGGAGCCCTCTGGAGCCTGCAGAGGGTGTCCTGCGGAGAGTTTACTGGAGAACTCTGTGGACGCCATGGAGATCGCTTGAATGCTCTGGAGAACTCTATAGGTTGCAGACCGCTGGGGCCTTGGGGCCTGCCGCCGAAGCGGCCCCCACGCGTGCCATTTCTCCGCCATTTCTCCTGTCCCGAGCCACGCGCCGCACGCTCGCGGTGTGGTGACCCATATCTGGCCGCGGTGGTGAGGCGGGGTGGATAAGACCCCGCGGGACCACACGGCGCGGGGCGGGGTCGCCAGGCGGCGGCAGCGTCACGGTGGTCGAGCGTTACGGGGCGTTACAGGTGGCTCCGCTCCGCCTTAGTAACGCTCTATTACGCTCCGTGACGCATGGACGCCCGGAGGGGCTCGGCGGCGGGATCCGGGCGCGGGGAGCGGGTGGAAGGCCCTTTCTCGGCGCCAGACCGGACCTTGTGCTCGCCGCCGCTGCCGCCACCATCATTTTGTCAGTTTTGAAACCCTTTTTATTTTTTTTTCTGTCCCGCTTCTTTCCGCCCTAAAATTGACGTGTTACAATGCGACTGCGGCTCCACCCGGCTCCGCCCTCGCGTCGCTCCGCCGCCGCACTTCCGACAGGGGGTCTTATGGCACACCGTGGCCGTCATCATGAATCGCAAATGACGGATCTGTTTTTCTTCGTGAATGATTTTCCATCCAAACCGAAACGTAGCCATTCGGCATGTCGAGGGTCGTTGGCGCGCTAGCATAGCAAGTGTGCCTCCTCCAAGTGGCTGGAAAACGCAAATAACCACCTGAGATGTATCATACTAGATCATACTCACAACACTTTGTTCAGTCACCTTATCACACTTACATTCATGATTGTTTGAGAGTGCGCTCTCACTCCTAGCTCGCTCCCTGACTGCTGTGTTCACTCTTCGCTTGCTGTCTCCCTCCTCGCCCAATCTCCGCTCCTCGCTCACTCCTCGCTCACTCGTCTGCGCTCGCTCTTGCGCCGCGGTGACCGGGCTGTCTGTCCATCTAGATGAATCAGGCGTTGCGTCACCCACAAGATGTATCGGGGGAGGTTTCCTTTCGGCTCCGGTCTCACCCATTAACCCCCCTCCCC